ATCTCATCAGGAAGAGACATAACTATTATAGACCGAGCACGCGTGTCTATAACTATTTTCTTCTTGTCCTCATCGCTCCACTGATGTGGAAGCTTTGGAATCTGCCGTTCAGGAATCGCGGCAGTYGTAGCTGTTGCTGGAACAGCCGGAACAATAGCAAATGGAATATATGGTCCATTTTCTATGTAGTGTGGAATTTTAGGATCCACACATTCCAGAAAGAGGGACATCCGGTTCTTTCAGAGACTAAAATTGTCACGGACAAACCAGGGTGGTTTGGCGAGAGAGCCATTATCCTCTGTGTGTGTTTGTGATTTGTAAAGCTATTTAAAAGCAGTAAGTTATCTAAGAATAGATAAATTAATACAGAAAATTAGCTAAACACAAGGAAAGAAAGAAAACACTTCTCTGATACCACTTGTTGATCTCGTAAGGGTCTACAAGAATAGAAACAGTTTGTAGAAGGGGGGTATGAATACAAACACAATATTTTCAAATTTAAGATATATATTGATAGAGAAGATCAATACAGATTTTACAAGACTGTTTGCGGAAAGATAAGATAAAGAAAACCTATCTAAACAATCTTTGGTTACACACAGATCTTTAGCAAATACAAGAAAAGAGATTGTTAAAAGGAAGATCTTTTACTTAAGCTAGAAGATGCTTGAAGTAAGAAGAGGATAGCAGAGAGATGCGCGCACTCTGCATGGAGAAGAAACACTTCTATTTATACCCAGTGTATTAAATGAACATTTAATGCAATATGGTAGGTTTAGAGTGCGTGTCAAGCCTTAAGAGGAAGGCTTGTCCTTTCTTACAGTGAATAGTACAAAAGCACTATTTTTGAGCAGACATCCTTGCCTAAAGTTGGTGGACAAAGAGTTGACTAATCGGCTCCGTACCGTACTAACTTTTGCAAGGGTATGGGTTTGTCCTTTGTGTGCATAAGGACAAGACAACAACAATCGTGCTAAGCAAGATTCTTTTGATCGCTGAATGCTGGAATGACCTGAAGGTCTCATCATCATTCGCTGAAGCTTGAGCAATCTTTACACATATGTAGTCAGGCTTGTAATCACTGAATACCGCTTCAGATCACGTACTCGCTAGTCTCTAATCTTCAGTTACAGTTTTCGACGTTCGCTGAAGGTTCTTTGGTGTGAGTGTTGTCTTCTTGAAGTATTGCTGTCTCTGATGAATTTACAATGCAAGTTCTTCAGCGATCACTGAACATACTCAGTGATGATCACTGGAACTGAAAATACAGAAACATAAATACAACGTGAAAGGGAAAAAGGATTATCATCAAATCACTGAGAGAGAGGATCAACAAAGAAGCGTTTTTTTTAGTTGGGAAAGACATGTTTGGAAATAAAAACTTGGCTTTCTATATAAAGCTCCCTTGCGAAACTTACTAGATAATTCACTTTCTATATTATTAAGTCACTATGAAACAGTCATGCATAGTTGAGTGAATAAGTTGTTAGTCTCACTAAGCTGATAACAGATAGGCTCTTAGACTTTAGTCTTTAGACCTGTAACTTTTTGAGTGTCACTTTTTGCTTACTATGACAGCAATTTAGATGTAATTTACTATTTTTGTTAATACTAATTATAATTTTTCTTGTCCTTTAAGTTCCTATTTTGCTAATTTCAATTTGGAGAAAGGAAAACTAGAAAAGGAAGAAGTACGATTTTAATCCAGGATTTATCCTTTTATCATTATATATTTTGTAATTCGGGGTTTTAGTTTTTATGTCCCCACCCCAATTGTATTTTTTTAATATAATTAAAAAAATCAATATGTGGATGAGACACTTAACTTTACTAGGTTCCAAACTGTTTAAAAAAATAGCATGTTTCATTGTTCCATTGGCTTAAAAACAATAGGCTTATGGGCATTTTTTTATTATTTTTGCATAGGGCATTAAAAATCTTAGGATCGGCCCTGATCATATGGGTTCACATATGAACATATAACTCATATGTGTCTCATATGGGTTCACATATGAACCAATTATTGTAAAAGTTATGAAATCATCTCTCTATCTTCCGCATACTCATGCTAGGAATTATTCGATGATTCACGGTCAAAGTCGCAAATGTTGTCCAAATGAAGAGTTGGGATCAGTTCTTTATTTCTCAAACATTTACCATTTCTGAAATGAACCTTTGCCTCTAATATATATATATATATATATATATATATATATAGGGCTTAATCAAATGAGAACTGATTAGTTTGTGGTAACTGTGAGATCCAATCTCAACCACAAATCAACGGATAAATTAAGAAATTAATAATTATGTTAGTTTGAGTTAAAATTATAATTAGAGGGCATTTTAGGTATTTTTAAAAAACTCCTCTCTTCTCTCTTCTCTCTCATCTCTCCGACCTTCGATCTCCGGCCTCCTGTAAACAAAAATCCGGCAGATACCAAATAATCACAAAGATGCATAATGTGATACCCATTGTGATATATAGTGGTACTCAAATGGTATCACAGTATATCACAATGGGTATCACAATATATCATAATAGGTATCACATTGTATATCTTTGTGATTAATTGGTACCTGCCGGATTTTTGTTCACCGAATGCCGGAGATTGGAGGTAGGAGAGATGAGAAATAAGAGAGGAGAGAAGAGTTTTTTAAAAATACCTAAAATGCCCTCTAATTATAATTTTAACTCAAACTACCAAAATTATTAATTTCCTAATTTATCCGTTAATTTGTGGTTGAGATTGGATCTCACAGTTACCACAAACTAATCAGTTCTCTCTTGAATGAGCCCCTATATATATACATATATATATACATATATATATATATATATATATATATATTTAGGGTTGATATTCGATTAAAAAAAGAGTTAAGGTGAGAAGCGTAAAAAGGGCTTCATCCTAAGATGTATATTAGGATGTGATGCATCAAGATGAGATGTATCGAGATGTACCATCAATCCTCGTATCAAGTGCGATTAGTGGATGAGTTTGTGATTAAAAATGATCAAGGGTTCAGATATTTTTCTCCGCTTCCGACCTTAAATGTACTTCTCAAACGATTATTCTTATATATATATATGACAGCAATTTGGTCATTTAAACGTGTTGTCATAGAGAGAGAGAGAGAGTGTGTGAGTGTGTGTGTGAGAGAGAGTGAGTGAGGGAGTGAGTGAGTGAGTGAGAAAAAGAGAGAGGGTTTTATGGGTAAGCAGAGGTTTAGATTATCGCATATGATACCAAATGCTTGGTTTTACAGGTTAAGAGACATGAACACTGCCATGGGCGCCACCCACAACAAGAAACCTCTTCCATCTGCTTACTCTTCAACCCCAAACCACACCAGAAACTCTTTCTGTTACACTCCTAGACTCCACCGATATAACAATTCACCCACACCCACATCAAACACAAACATTATCAACCACCCTGCAGTTTCAATCTGCACTCAGCCCACTGAGTTTACTCATACCCATGATCAAGATTTATTTCTTTCCCCTATTAGAAGTAGTTACAATGAATCTCCTGTCTCTGAGTCAATTCTGTCGTTGGCCAGACCTCCCTCCACCTCTTGTAGTTGTGGAGTGATCAGTTCTTCAACTACCGATGTCGTAATTGAGTTCAATAAGAAATCATACACCAAAAAGATTCAAGATTCAAGTGGGTATGAGTTGATTCGAAGGATTGAGCTTCAAAAGCCTCCACCAATCATAACGAAATCCAACAAGGACACATTAACGTTGGTTGAGAAGAAAGAAGAGAGTTCCAATCAAAGCTCGATTTCAATTAAAATAGTCAAAGACAGTTTCTCGAAGAAAGAAAATCCAGAGAGAAAACCAGTTTCAGGAGTCAAGATAAGATCGAATTCTTCTAGAACACCCGTATGCAAGAGGATTGTTGATGCTAATAATGATCATAAAAGACAAAAGAACAACCTGTCAAGTAGCTGTTGCATTGTGAAGTCATCATTTGACCCACAGAAAGACTTCAAGGAATCAATGGTGGAGATGATTGTGGAAGAAAAGATCTGGGCTTCCAGGGATTTGGAAAAGCTCCTTGCTTCTTACCTCTCTTTGAATTCAAACGAGTACCATGAGATGATCATCAAGGCATTTGAGGAAATCTGGTTAAGTTTTAAGTTTGTTGACTAAGAAATGTGAAGGTATATATTATGTCATCCTTTGTGTGTTTTCTGCTTAACGTGCCGAATCTTTAATGTAAACTAGTTGTTTTACCTTTTGAGTTCAATTAAAGTGCCAAATGGGGCTGTTTTCTTGAAACACATGTCAAGAAACCTTAAAAGATTGAAGCTACCAGACGAAACTAGGAATCATAACATCCAGGTTTTGATAAAATTCCTGACAAGCCGACGGGAGCCCAGAAAAAGGTCTAAGAACATTCCTGACAAGTTTGTACTCCAAGTCCAACTCAACTTGTGAGTAATTCAACCGTAAGGGGTATGAACAACGAAGGTTTCAAACTGTAAAACTGATATAAGTTCAAAGGTTTATTTATTAAAAAAAATTAAGTTTTATTTATTTAAAAAAATGTTTAAGGGTTTAATTATTGGAAAAAATCTAAAAAAAACAATGGACTTTAATGTTTGAAATGATTAATTCATTGGACAATTTTTTGAAACAAATATAGCCTTTGGACATTCTAAAACCTGTAAAATAACTCGTTCGACATTCTAAAACTTGTTAGATACATCCTTTTTTTTATTAACCTGGATATCTAATCCGCTATACGAGCTGACTAATCCGAGGGCGACCATCTACTTTGCAGATAGCCCGGAGTCAACACATTTGAACCTCCGTGGCCACAAAGGATTTTTATTCCTTCTTGAATTTAAACCTGGGATCTCCTAGTACTTTTGACTCATTGGAGTCAAGCTCAAACGACACCACCCTTGTGGTTTTGTTAGATACATCCTTATTACCTATATAACTAGTTAATATGATAAAATAATGGACAAAGTTTGAAAAAAGTCAATAAACTTTCATATTTTGAACGATAAAGTCCTTAAAAAAATGTGAACCAAAAAAATACTTACCTTTAAAAATGATTACTAATAAAATTTATTTTAATTAAAAGTAAAATATATTCTATCAATTATTTTTCAGATTAAAAAAATAAAAAATTATTTAAAAAAAATATTGATTAAATTTATTTTAAATAAAAAATAAAATATATTTCATATGTGTTTTTTTAAATTAAAAAATTAAAAAAAAGATTTAAGAAAAATTACGGATGAAATTTATTTTAATTAAAAATATATTCCATTGGTAATTTTTCAAATTAAAAAAATAGTAAATAAATTGATTAAACTACTGATTTATTAACGACAAAATTTATCTAAATACACAATTAATTAAAATTCCTCGATAATCCGTTGGTGAAATGATATCACCCAAAGATTCAAGTACTATTTTTCACATTTATTAACACGTTACTCTATTAGAACATCTAACGGTGGTCAAGTTAGTACTCAATTAGACATAAGTAATCCTTGCATATAAACCAATGAACACTAGCTACAATTTTTAAATAATTATATATTTAGTTAAATTTTATCGTTAATCCGTCAGTAATTTAATCAAATTATTTTATATTTTTTAATTTAGAAAATCATTAACGAAATATATTTTATTTTTAATTAAGATAAATTTCATCAGTAATATTTTTTAAATCTTTTTTTATTTTTCTTTTATTTTAAAAATCACATATGAAATAAAATTTGTTTTTAATTAAAATAAATTTAACCGGTAATCCTTTTTAAATAAATTTTTATTTTTTTTAATTTGAAAAATCACTTACAAGATATATTTTTAATTAAAATAAAGTTTATCAATAATCTTTTTTTTAAATGTAAGTACTTTTTGGTATATTTGTTTCATTTTATCGATGTAAGTATTTTTTTTTGGTTTAAAAAATGTTTAAAGACTTAATCATTATAAATATGAAAGTCCTTGTATTTTTTTCATATTTTTTCCATTATTTTACCACATTAACCAGTTATATAAATTATAAGCATGTATGTAACAAGTTTTAAAAAGTCGAATGAGTTATTTAACATGTTTTGGAATGTCCTGTAACTTATTTGTTCCAAAAAATTGTCCAATGACTTGATCATTAGGTTTTTTAGACTTTTTACTTAATCGTTCAAAATGAAAAAATTCAATGGCTTTTAAATAAAAAAAAATACTTCGAAGTCTTAATCATTAAAATGGAAAAGTTCGTTGAGTTTTATGAAATTCTCTTTCATCTAACACCGAAGCTATGAGGATATATGTGAAATTTATTACCTTTCAAAAGACCTTTTGGGAAGAGAAATAAGGTTGCAACGTATATGGAGAGAAATGGTCAAAATTTAGCCTACGGGAGACTTTAAGAAAAATAATTGTTCACCCTTCGGATAAAAGAAAGACATGTACATGCTATACATCAAATCTTCAGACCCTATTGAGTAATTTTAGTTTAGTTCGATATATAACAAATGAAAAGACCATTGAAGCTTGTACTCTTCTTGTTAACCTATTCTTATATCTCCACAAAAGCAGTATTCCATAACACTATATATCATATACATACTTATAAACCTTGAGCATTAGCTCAACCGACAAATAAAATTAGACATTGAAAATTTTTGTGACTACCTCTAGAATTAGTTGATATGCATGCATACTAATCCGGAAGGCTACTACTACAATTAATGCATCCTATTCCGGACAACTACTACTACACAAAACATGCATTTCTATATTTAAGAAAGACCCATGAAACTACGCTCATTTTTTGACAAATGTTGATTTGAAAACCCCGGACCTACTAAGGACCAAACGGGGTCTCATGCCTTTGTTTACTTGATTATTATAAAAGAAAAAAATTAAACGTCTTAAAAGTACACCCACTTGATTTTTAGGGTAACCTAAAAAAATTTAAAACCATGTTTCTAACCTATATCTATATTCGACGGGATGGTCTATGGCTGGCCAACATCAAGCACTACCTGTAGCAATTTTTTTTCTTTTCAAAATTAGAAAGTAAATAACTTATCTCTTTCAATTCTATATCACTTTCACTAATACTTCTAAACCAATTTCAATAACACATTGAGGGGTATTTGGGGTTGAAACAACTTATACTTTTTAATTTAAAGATGCATATTATATGGTTTCATTTCTTATTATCGGTTTGACACCGGTATAAATTGTTTATCCAAACACTTAAAAGTGCTTATTACCGGTGTCACAACGGAATAAGTCAATGAATTATTTTTATAAACAATTCCAAACACCCTGAATATCAAGTTCATCTCCATTTTTAAATTTATATCCAATTTTTGTTGATTAATTGTATCTTTTTTTAAATATCATGTTCTTATCATTAACTTTCCACAAAAATATAATTTTTTTTTCTCTAGGTTTGTTTGTGTTTTTTAATTTGTTTTTATTATTGATTTGATTATTCTTACTCGAAATTCTTTATGCATAATTAATTTTGATTTTAACAACATCGTATTTAATAGTAAGAGTTTTAGATGCATAATGAATAAGTAAATATATATATATATATATATATATATGGGCTTAATCAAATAAGAATTAATTAGTTTGTGGTAACCGTGAGGTCCAATTTCAACCATAAATCAATAGATAAATCAAGAAATTTTTAATTTTGGTAATTTTTAATTAAAATTTTAATGCAAGGTTATTTTAGGTATTTTCTCTCCTCTCTCCTATCTCCTCTCTTCTCTCTCCGTCCCCCGGCCTCCGACCACCATCCTCCGGCCACCATCCTCCGGTGCTACCACAGTGGTATCACAATGCATCATATATGTGATTGAGTATCACACTGTGGTCATTTGTGCGGTCGATCGGATACGTAACACTGTGGTATCACAATGCATCTTATATGTGCTTGAGTATCACACTGTGGTATCACCGGAGGATGGTGGCCGGAGGACGGAGGACGGTGGCCGGAAGACGGGGACGGAGAGAGAAGAGAGGAGAGATGATAGAAAATACCTAAAATGTCATTGCATTAAAATTTTAATTAAAAATTACCAAAATTATAAATTTACTAATTTATCTATTGATTTGTGGCTGAGATTGGATCTCACGGTTACCACAAACTAGCCAGTTCTCTCTTGAATAGGCCCCTATATATAAATATATATATATATATATAGGGGTACGTCCAAATGAAAACCGTGCATTTTTAAGAAACCGTGTAAACCAATTTCGACCAATAGAAAAATTCCATTTTTTTCTAATTAAATTTAATCAATAAGGGTATTTCGGCCATTTACAATATTTTCTATTAAATATGAAAGTTATTAATATATCTTAATTAAGGAAACGTAATAAAGGAAACGTAATAAAAGAAATTGTATAAATGGTAACATTTAAATATTTAATTATATTATAATATTAAAATTTTGAATTTGATATATTGTTATGAAATTGAATCTGCAAACGGGTCTTGAAGATTGTATTGCATTATGAAATGTTATCGTAAATTATGGTTCAAATTAAAAAAATAATGTTAATGAAACAAGTTTCATGAAGATGAAACTGGTTCATGTTATAATTGATTCATGAGTAATATGAAATCATTTCATGGTGAATCACGTTTCAGTGATGGTGTAGTTGATCCGTTTAGTAGAAAAAATGGAACATGAAACGGGTGCATAATTTATTTGGTTCATCATGAAATAATTGCATGATGAAACGGGTACATGATGAATCTGCTTCGGGATCTTGAAGATTGTAATCTACTCTAGAATCTTGAAGATTGTAAGGATTAAAGGAAAGAATGCATCAAATCATGAGTGAAATAAAAAAATTAATTTATATGAAACAAGTTTCATGAAGGTGAAACTGGTTCATGGCATAATTGAACAATGAGTGGTGAACTGCTTTCATGGTGAAACCCGTTTCAATGATGGTGTAGGTGATCCATTCAGTAGATGAAATGAAAAATGAAACGGGTGCATAATGTAGGCGGTTCGTCATGAAATAATTGCAAGATGAAAAATAAATTAGGTTCATCAATAATAATAAATATTAACGTAAAAATGTTAATGTAAAAATAATAAATTACTTTACAAAAAATAAATGGAGGATATCGATTAGGAGATTGGGGAATGAATATTTGGTTTTACCCTTTTGCCCTTATCCTTATTATAAAATGTATTTTCAATTTTTTTATTTTTTATTTTCTTAAATAACCTTGATTAATCTTAA